GAGGCTGCGGGACCAGTTTACCCTTTACAAGCATCTGGTTTTATGCTTTCCTGAAGCCACAAAAAAAAAAAAAAAAAAAAAAGGAAATTTTTTTCCAAGTGGATGGTGAACATGCAACCCCTGTGGGTGTAGTAGGATGGGAATAGAAACAGGGTCAGGAGATCTTTGAGGAGTTAAAGCTCTGACAGGTCACTGAGGGAGGGTGACTGAGGTCCCAAAACTTTCTCCAGGACCTGTCAGCACCCATTGGAGGAGGGACTAAGGGTCTGGCTTGCAGCATGACAGTGAGGAGCCTTTGGGGGCAGGGTGGGGCTCCAGATGGGAGGGTTAGGTGACCTGGAGGGCGCTTGGAGCCCATGTTCCTGCCAAAGTCCAGGGCGCAGCTGGTTCCTTGCAGCCTCTAGCCCCCAGAGGACTGGTGGGACCAGTGGGGGTGAGGGCCTTGCAAGGTCGGTGATGGTGAGCCAGCTGCCAGACAGGCAACAGGGCAGTGTCCCAGAGAAGGGTCAGTGGGCCAACTCCCCAGATCCAGTATTTAGTAAACACTTAAGCCCAACCCCAAGTAGCCCTGGGGACAGAGCCCTGTCCCCTGTGGTGGATGCAGGTGCAGATTCTATCGCAACCCAGGATGACTGGGTGTGAGCTACGAGGGAGGCTGCAAGAAGTGCAGGGCTTGGCAGGGGATCTGTGTATGGCAGGAGGAAGATGAAGACTGGAAAATGGGGAGTGGAAAGGGCCAGCAGGGTCAGGGGCATCATCATGCCCAAAGACAGTAGAGGAGATAGGAGATACTACAGTAGGCGAGTGGCCTTGGGGCTTGTATTTGGGGTGTCTGGGGGTCACCCAGGGGAAGGACGAGCACTAACATCTGGAGCTAGAGGCAGCCTCTTGGGAGTCATTTCTGTACAAGTGGTCATTGAGATGACATGGAGTGGATGAAATTGTGTGAAGAGTTGAGAAAAAGAGGAATAAAACCCCAGGGAGCATTTAAGAGTGGAGAGAGAAGCCTGTGGAGGAGGCAGAGAGAGAGTAGGGTCAGCAGGTCAGAAGAGATCCCAGAGGCATGGCTCAGAGGCAGGGAGGGAACATTCCAGGAATCAGGGGCTGGCCACCAGTGTGGACTGCAGCAGAGAAGGAGGGGAGGAGACCAGGGAAATGGAAGGTCCCAGGTGACTTGCAAAAGCAGCCCTGGGGATGCTGGGGACAGAGGTCCCAGGAAGAGTGTGGGAAGAAAGCAAGGTGGGCAGTGACAGCCCAGCTGGAGAGGGAGGGCAGACTGGAGCTGGGGTCCTTGAGTGGGAAGCAGGAATGAGGCTCTTTAAGGATGGGAGGTGGGCACTTGGGTGAATGCTAGTGTCCTCGGAGGCTTGCTTCTGTCCCTGTCACATCTCACAGGACCATCCCTTTCTCATTCACAAACTCCCTCAGGCCTCACCACATCCCTTGAGGATCATGTAAAGAAATTCCTACTGGCTGGAGACAATGGCCCCATTTTTTTTTTTTTTTTCCACAGGCGTCTCAGGGACAGTCTCTCTAATCAGATGTGTGGGCCCGGCTGGGGATCTGAGCTACCTGAGGACCCAGCAAATGGTACAGTGAATGCACTTCTTTCAGATGGTCCCCAAATCACTAGCAAGAGGCTGCCTCCTCCAGAAGGGCTGTTGTTATTTTTTCCCATCCTCTTGGCCACCCTACGACCCTTTGCCATGTCCCAGAACCAAATTCAGCAGCACAGTGCTTTACTGATGATTAGAACAAGGTACCTGGATGCCCTTGCTGTGGCATGGTCTCTCTGGGGGCTCTGAAGCCCTCCTGCACCTCCTGTAGGCTCACAGCCTGGTGCAGGGATACAGGAGGAGGTAGCTGTATCTGGGGCCCCTGTATCCCAGAGACAGGCTGAGGTTCAAACATCAGACATATTTTCCAGATTGCTTACCATGCCTAGAGCAAGTACAGGGCAAGCTGCTGGCCTTCCTGCCTCCACTCCCACTCGGTTAACTGGGGCAGGGAGGCCCACAAATCCTCCTGATGAAGGTTCCATTCCCACCCTCCCCTTTTGCCCCACGGTTGACTTTCTGTGGGATCAGCTGCCCTGGCATGTGGGACTGTCAGAGGTGCTGGAACCAAAGTTACTCCATCTTAAATAGGGGCTGGGTAAAATGAGGCTGAGACCTACTGGGCTGCATTCCCAGGAGGTTAGGCATTCTGAGTCACAGGAAGAGACAGGAGATAGACACAAAATACAAGTCATAAAGACCTTGCTGATAAAACAGGTTGCAGGAAAGAATCCGACCAAAACTCACCAAAACCACGATGGCGAAGAAAGTGACCTCTGATTGTCCTCACTGCTCATTACATGCTAATTATAATGTATTAGCTGGTTAAAATACGCTCCCACAGCACCATGAGAGTTTACAAATGCCATGGCAATGCAAGGAAGTTACCCTACACGGTCTGTAAAGGGAAGGAACCACCAGTTCTGGGAATTACCCACCCCTTTCCTGGAAAACTCATGAATAGTCCACCACTTGTTCAGCATATAATCAAGAAGTAAAAATAAGTATGAGCCGCTGAGCAGCCCATGCTGCTGCTCTGCCTATGGAGTAGCCACTTTTATTCCTTTTTTCTTTTCTTCTGAGATGGAGTTGACCAGGTTGGAGTGCAATGGTACGATCTTGGCTCACTGCAACCTCTGCCTCCTGGGTTCAAACGATTTTTCTGCCTCAGTCTTCTGTGTAGCTGGGATTACAGGTGCCTGCCACCACACCTGGCTAATTTTTTGTATTTTTAGTAGAGACAGGGTTTCATGCACCATGTTGGCCAGGCTGGTCTCGAACTCCTGACCTCAGGTGATTCACCCGCCTCGGCCTCTCAAAGTGCTGGGATTACAGGTATAAGCCACCGTGCTCAGCCTATTCCTTTACTTTCTTAATAAACTTGCCTTCACTTTACTCTATGGACTTGCCCTGAATTCTTTCTTGTGCAAGACCCAAAAACCCTCTCTTGGGGTCTTGATAGGGACCCGTTTCTGGTAACATGACCAACTTTCACTCTGCTTGGAGACCCTCTGCAAACCCAAGGCTGCTGTTGAAAGAGGTCTTGCTCTTCCCTGTCCCAGAGGCCAATGTTCAATTCTTTGACACTGCAGTCTGCCCCCTTACTCACCACTGATTTGACAGATGGCCCCTACCTCTGCCAGAAGACAGTGTCTCCTGGTGTCCCCAGCTTTGGGGCAGCCAATGTGCTGCAAAGTGGAGCCCTCTTTGGAGTATGCAACATTCTGTCAGCACCCAACATGCTCCCAGCCATAAACTTCCCTTCCTGTGCCTCCAGGGAGGCCAGGCCTGAAAGCCCAGAACCTGCTGTAGACTCACGGTGTGAAATGTCTGCTTCCAGGCCGTAATACTGGCTGCCTTTTTAACTCTGTAAAACTTGGGTGAGATGCCTGAAATTGTGGGTGACCTTTCAGATAGACTACCTGCCTGGTAAAGAATGGAAACTTTGGGCTCAAAATATTGGTCTATGTGGCCGCAGCAGCTGGGTCATCCAGTTCAGAGTACCCCAGACAGCCCAGTGTATTGTCTAACCCGCTGTCCTCCCAAGGGTCCAGTGGGCCACAGCCATCACCTCCATGCTGGTTGGATGTATGTGGTTGATACTATCCAGCTGAAGACTGAAATGTCTGCAATCTCATGGGAATGTGACAAGTAGGAATGTGACATTTTACTCAAAGCTAACAAGCATGATTCCTAGGTATGGGTTCTTTTGCTAGCCATGTACAGCTATCTACTTGGGCTTGTATATCTTTTCATGTAAAGTTATATTTCACCCATTTACCTGATGGCCGCCTTCCTCACTGAGGCCCTCAGAGCATCACATAAGCATCTGGGGAGACTGACAAAGGGACAATCTGTGCTTAGGATTACTATTTGGTTCACAAGACTGATCATGTGAGTTTTAAAAGCTAACAACCCGCCCCCCCCCAGGTCCTTTGGTCATGCTAAAACTCCCAACAGAGAGCAGCCATCAGTTAAGGAGTCAGTGAAGTTGAAACTAGAAAGGCGAATATAGACCCAATCTTTTCTGTTGCGGGTCTTTAGTTCTTGACAGACTTTAGGGGAAAAAAGTAGTTTTTTTTTTTTTTTTTTTTTTTTTAAATGGGTTATGAGCTAAAGAGGGACAGTTTGCACAGTTTGGACAAAATAGAAGTACTCTTACCAATAAATATGTCTCAAAATGACAAATAAAGCTCTCCAATTGGTGGCTCGGAATCCCAGCAAGAAGTGATGGGCACAGGCACGATGAGCTATGTACAGAGTGTAAACAGTAAGGCCCTTGAGGGGAAGTAATAAGGGCTAGGGCCAGGTGATGGGGTGTGCACGGAGGAGCCTGGGTGGCGGAGAGTGGGCCCATGGATAAATACAACAGGCTTGTATGACGGCCATACAATCTGCCACCAAAGCTTGTGTGGTGGTGGTAGGTCCACTGGGTTCCTCCAGTCGGCAGTAAGAAGGAGAAATTTGTCCATTGAGGAGCCCTGGTCCCACTGACTTTTTCCCTAAGGGAGGCACTGGGGTAGCCGGCCAAAGCTTCTGTGCCCATTCCCCAGAAGAGGAGGGGCAGGCCTTCCTGGGCATGCTTGGGGCTGTCTACTCAGGGTTCAGGGCATGGAGGATGGGGCAGTGTTTCTCAAATAGGGATTGGGAGCAAATGGCCCCACGGAGCCCGCAGCCCCTCCCTTCTAAGAAAAGAGTTCTGGGCACCTGAGTCCAGCAGGGGGCCCCATTACTTTTCACCTTTCAAGGGCTCCAGCCTCAAGCTCCACCCAGTTCCTCAGGGATGCCACAGAGCAGCTGCCCTGATCAGTTTCCGGGTCTCCGATTTGCACGAGGTCTCTTAGAACAACGCCAGCCTCCCTCTCTAGTCCCCCTTACCCCCAAGCCCAGCACACTCCGCGGCCTAGCTCTGGGGTCCTTAAATATCAGTCTCCCGCAGGTTACTGTAGTCGGCCAATTCGTAGGCCTGGCAGGCGGCGCCCTCGGCCACCTCGTGGGGGACGCCTAGGGACACGGCCTCCACCTCTGAGCGCTGGGAGCACGCTGCCTCTGCGCGCTG